CAGCAGGCTATTAGTTTCTTCGGGATTTTGAACATGATGTTTAAAAGAAATTATTTCTTCCCTTGAGTTATTACAATGGCAAATGTCTATTTTCAGTTGCATTAGAAACAACATTATTGTGATATACTCAGTATTCCATAGCTTACTAGGCTGGGTAGAATGAAAGGAGACTGTCAAACATTATGTCGTTTATGAAGTGCCCGTTACTACATCGTCTGTACAGCTGCGCCCCATGGGTCCATAAGTCGCATTCAAACGAGCTCTCTGATTGGTTGTTGTCGGTGTCGCTCCCTCGATGACGTGCTTCCGCCGTCGCTGTACAACACGTGTATGATGTAGTTTCGAGCTGAAGGGAAAATTGGCTAACAAACTTGAGTGTTGGGGCTTATTTGTGTGGTTTGTATTTTTTGTCTGTAGAAGGCTGTGCCGATCAAGCGATCAAAATGGTGAAGCCTCGGTTTAAGGGGAAAAGCTCGATAAACCCCTCGACGTCCAGCAGCAATCCCGGTAAGCCGTACAATTTGTTTACAGCTAATGCTAATTGTTACTAACCCGTCATACTGTTCGCTGGAAAAGACGTGTTGGGATATTTTTTGTTATGTTAAAGTAGTCACTAGCATTACATGTACAGTGTGTCAGAATGAATCACATAGTCTGACAAACTTTAGTTACGCATTAACGTTAGGCCTTTCAGATGTCACACAACACTATTCAAGTTTGTCCTAAAATGGAAACAGCTGCCACTATTGGTCGTAGATTTCTCCTGAAGTAGCTTTGATATTGTTTACATACTAGAATTATTTTTCTGTTTATTAGGGTGACCTGGCTAAAACGAGTTTAATAAAGCAGCTGCACAATAAATAAATGAAATAGTAGTTAAGGCTGTAATGTTCAGTTTTTGTCTAATCAGTTTAGAGACAAAATGTTAAAAACACTTTACAGTATATAATACTGCAATTCAACAGCACCAAATGCTGCACTCTCGAAAATGACCATAAAAAATCAATCAACGCCTCTCTAAATAGTTCCAGTTAAAGAATGAACATCATATCCTTCATGAATGTAGCATTTATTGTAGTGGTGTTGTCTTAGTCTGGGTTAATATTATGTGTATCTAGTAATAATAATTATAATAATAATAATTTAAATGTGCATGTGCTTTACAGATCGAATCAAAGGTGCTGGCGGGAACAACATGAGGGACCGAGCCACTATCAAACGTCTGAATATGTACAGACAAAAGCAGAGATGGTAATGAAAAAGACTTCTTGTGAGCTGATGATTGGCAGATTGCTTGTGAAATATAAAGTGCCGTGAGTGTAAATGCTGTGATCACACTGACTCTAATATTTTGTTTCCAGTAACAGCCATGGCAAAGTCATTAAACCTTTACAGTACCAGTCCACAGTGGCTCCAGGGACTGTAGCCAGAGTCGAACCAAACATCAAATGGTTTGGTAAATGCACTTCCTTACTGTTGTATATGTAACCTGTGTCATAGCAATGTGTGAAGGGAAACTAAATTTGCTGATACTCTACTTCATGTATTATGCTTGTACTATTTCTGCTTGATAATACACAAGGCAACACTGAACACAAAGATATTTCCTGAATGTTGACTTTAACGTTTGTTTAAATTCCACACTGCCCTTACCAAAACCTCACCGTGTTGGTAATACTATATACTATATCTATAATACTATAATACTATATCTGTTTTGAAAAGCACTGTGCTAAATCTATGAGTGCCTATTACTGTAGTAAACTAGGCAGAATGATGCAATAGACTCCTCCAGTTTGCTCACGCACATTTTTAAACCAGTCATTACAGATTGTGTATTTATTTATTTATTTATTTTCCCACATTTGAATGGTAGTTCAGTGGAAGTTTTATTAAAATGGTATCCCTCCCTACAGGACATTCAGAAGTACTGGTGTTTGAATCGGTTAAAATTTTTAGGTTAGTTTAACCAGTTAAGTGGTGACGTTCACCTTGATGTTTGATTGTTCTTTGCAGTGATGGCACATGTTAAATTGACCTTTTTCACAGTAGACATTTAAACATCCTATAGCAGGAAAATTACAAGTGTAATTAATAACAGTAATGAATGATCTGTTCCACTCAGGAGTCAGTTTCGTGGTCCTGGTATTGTTAATGCTGGCTGTCTGAGACACTTGAACGGGCACAACCATTGTTGATGAAAGTGCTTTTCCAGCAATGAAAAGTCAAAATGTCTACTATGAAAAAGGCCCATAAAGGAAGATACATAAGAGACTTCTGTGGAAGTCATATGTTGTTCTCTAATTGCGAAGTCTGCATATCCCAGAAGTAACTCGACAGTGAGCAAGAGGGGATATTGGGAAACTAATAAAACAAGGGGTTATAAATTAATAGACAATTCAACAGCTAAACTATCTGCGTCACACTTTGCATCTACATTGCCTGTATTTCAGCAAATACCCGTGTGATCAAGCAGTCGTCTCTCCAGAAGTTCCAGGAAGAAATGGGAGCAGTACAAAAGGATTCGTATCGTGTGGTGATGAGACAAAGCAAACTCCCCATGTCCCTGTTGCATGACAGAGTCAAAGCCCATGTGAGTATAAAGGGTATAAGCATTTTATTACTGTACTTTTAAATCAAGATGGATTTCTTTCCTGTAAAGTCTCTGTATTTTAGGCTCTAGGAAGGCACTGAGGAGAGGATGCACATTTTTTGTGTGAATTAATAAATTTTACTATGAGCATAATAGCATATAAAGCTACTGATGTTTTTACCTGGTTTATATCAAGCAGTGCAGATGAGAATCATACCTCTGTTTTTTAGTAGATGGTTTCAGGGGATTTTATGAGGTGAGTTGAACACGAGGCCTCACTTTAATCCTCATTCAGCTTTCACTCTGCCCCACTGTGACCCTGGCAATGTGATTGGCTCGAGAGAGCCAGCACAATTCCAAATAACATTCAGTTCTTCTCTTCAGTTCTTCTCTCTTTCTCTTCCAACATATCATTGGACCTGTTTCAATGTTTTTTTTATTTTTCTTCTGTATACTGTCGACCCTCATAATAGTGATGCATGGGACTGGATATTTTTCAAGATATTTTCCCTTTTATATCTAATTATTGGCAAGTTGCCAGAAAAGCATGTGCTCTATATATTTGCCTTGCTGTCTTCATTTGCTGTTGTGTTCGTTCTGTTGAAATTGTGAGTATATTTGAGCAGCTTGTCGAGTCAGTGAAGCAGGTCACTGATACTCCTGGAAGGACAATAACACACAAATTAGTTCTAACACAGACAAGATCTGTAGTCCCTGTTGTTTAAGTACTGTCTCAATACAACATTACAGTACTATGTGTCTCATCAGCCATCACTTGTGCTGTAACATGTGGTCTCATTTTTCCAGTACTGCAGTCATGTTGTAGACGAGGAGACCGAGGTTGTCCAGACTTACTTGTCACAAGCTGTAATGCAAGTCTGATCTGATCTTTTTTTTTTTTTTTGATTTCTCTACAACTGTAGAACTCCAAAGTGCATATTCTAGACACGGAGGCTTTTGAGACCACATTTGGACCCAAGGCTCAAAGGAAAAGGCCCAGTCTCATTGTGGGGGATGTGAAAGATCTTGTAGAGCAGGCTGAGGCCTCAGCTTTGAGCTACAGTGCAGACAAGGACCGAGACCTGATGACTGAGGACACAGGTGTCCGGTAAGACTCAGTAGATTCTGTATCATTACTGCATCCAACTAATCAGGAGTAAAGTTGCTGAATAAAATTTTTATTTTTTTTTTTTAAACTCATTTTGCAACAGGGAAGAGGCACGTGAGGAAATATTCAAGAAGGGTCAGTCCAAGCGGATCTGGGGAGAACTTTACAAGGTATCATTTCCATCCTCCTCTCAGAGCTGTGCATTATGATAATTCTTACCATTGAATTGGCACATTGATAATTTGTTCAGCATTTATTCTGCATTGCTGACTGTTCTATTCCAATAGGTGATTGACTCATCTGATGTCATCATCCAAGTGCTGGATGCCCGTGATCCCATGGGAACACGCTCCAAGAACATAGAGGCATATCTGAAGAAGGAGAAACCCTGGAAACATCTGATCTTTGTGCTAAACAAGTGCGACCTCATCCCCACCTGGGTCACGGTAAGATATTTACACATGTTCATGTTTGAGTGAAAGTGGCTATGACCGTCTTTTCATAGTGTGAAGTCATGCGATTGTCTTCTTCTCTCTACTTATTTTTGAACCAGAAACGCTGGGTAGCAGTTTTGTCCGAAGAGTACCCCACTCTGGCTTTCCACGCCAGCCTTACGAACTCGTTTGGTAAGGGTGCCCTCATCCAGCTGCTCAGGCAGTTTGGCAAGGTAAGCACATGCCTGAGATTGAAAATGTCAATCTTTGATTTGTCAAGAACCTAAACCACTTACTGGTCCAATTAACAAGCACACGTACCACAGCCCATAGCTTATTGTCCAGCATATGGAGCCAGTATATTTACAACTTTTTTTTTTTTTTTTTTTTTTTTTTTTTTAAACAGTCTTGGATATTCAGTTTGTCTCCCACCTACTGCCTTGACTACCGAGTGTACTGATTACATAACATGCATCTCTAACCAGACATAATATTACATGTGCAGTGATCTAAACCTATCTGAACATACTATGTGTCATAGTGGCTGTGGAATCGAGTGCGTTTATAAAAAACATGCAAGTTAAAAGATCTGAGAAGTCTATAAATCAAAAGGTTTGATATTGAAATGGGATGTTCTTGTTAGATTTAATATTGTGATTTTAAGAAGCCTTAATGACAGACACAGAAAAACGTGTGTGTTCATGTCCTTGTAAACATGTTTTTTTGGACCACAATTCCCAAAAAAGTCAGAAGATAAAGTAAGAAATCTTTTCCAGAACAGCCCAGGACAAAGACAAGAGATTAAAGATCATTTTGTATCTTGTTTTTAAGTTTTTTTGTTTTAATGATTGTCTTGTTTACATAAAAAAAAAAAAAAAAAATCCCAGTTATGTGTTTTGAATAAACTACATTGCCGTTCTGGACCAATGTCAAGTTCACTTTGTTTTTTTTTTTTTTTTTTTTTGCAAACAGAGCCCCATCTAAAGTTACCTCTGACTGAGACTGTTGTTTAGGAAACAACAGCCTGACTTTATTTTTCGCTTCCCACAGCTCCACACGGACAAGAAACAGATAAGCGTGGGTTTCATTGGCTACCCTAATGTGGGAAAGAGCTCGGTCATCAACACGCTGCGGTCTAAGAAGGTCTGCAATGTGGCACCCCTTGCTGGAGAAACAAAGGTAACGCAAACTCCGTTTGCACTCTTGATATGCAATGAAGCAACATGAGCAAAGGAAAGTCTGTCTAGAAAGCTGTAAAACAAACCACTACTAATTACAGTTTCGTGATTTCTTAAAACAGTTACTGAGAAATCTAAAGATTGTGTAGTTCATCATAACATAATGGACATCTGACTTTGACGTGGCTCAAATTCCAGGACTGTAGAATATGAAGAAATGACCAGAGCAATAGCACAAAAATCTTTATAGAGGGGAAGAGGATCTTGTGAAATACCCTTACTTTTCCATGCTTGCCAAAGTTGTGAAAAAAATTTTTTTTTGCACATCAGTGAATCTGATGGGCTTGTGTCCGGCACTCCCTTATTTCTCACCTTGTCTTTGCTTCTCACCGCACACTTAACACTGTTTAGTCATAGTCAACAAGCTGATGGCCTGCAGCACTGCTGTGACTCATACCTGTTTCACACTGCGTTGTGCATTTCCTGTCAATAGTTGTTGTAAAATGTCTCGACCTGATGAACTAATCCTGAAAAACAGAACATTGTTGCATTAGGAGGGAGAAGAAGGTTCTTGCCCAGATCCAGTACAGTGTGTACATTGCTTTTACCAGAGTTAGTTTTGTATGTTGCTACCTCACTCATCATATTTGCCTCAACATTATATATCTGTAAATACCAAGAATGTAAAATAGATTTCATACCACATGTGAAAGTGAAATGCTTTTATCATAGACCTAATAAAATTGAGGCTTTTTCCATTTTAGGTGTGGCAGTACATTACTTTGATGAGACGCATCTTCCTTATTGACTGCCCTGGTGTTGTCTACCCTTCAGAAGACAGTGAATCTGATATTGTTTTGAAAGGCGTGGTAAGTCTCTTGTTTCATGTATTCCTTTATGCACAAAGGTTTTGTGGTGTCTGCCTCATGTACATCTGTTGCACAGAATAATTTGTGCTCCTCATAATGACAATCCTAATGATGTGATGTTGCAAAAATACTGTACCACTTATTCAGGGTAACTAAATGTCACTTTTGACAGCTCTTAGCTAACTGGAGTACAATGAGCAAAGAGTATAAAGTGGATTATGCTTCATAATGCCTTTAGTGGCTCAGATTCTGATCTTCTAGATCCTGTTTCAGGACCACGGGTTTAATCTGTTGGCCATGCACTCCCCCAACTGAAATGCTGCAGGTTCACATCTTAAATTGCACTGCACCTTCTTTCCCTTCCTCACAAAGGTTCAAGTGGAGAAGATCAAGAACCCAGATGAGCACATTGGGGCAGTATTAGAGCGGGCCAAACCAGAGTACATTCAGAAGACCTACCACATCCCTACTTGGAACTCAGCTGAAGACTTCCTTGAGAAGCTGGCATTTCGCACTGGGAAACTTCTGAAGGTCTAAACATTCCTCTTTCATGTTCTTGCTTGCGGGGCCATAACAGGCTATACTTAAGACTGTTCTGTCTAAAGTTTGTGTTCTATTTATTTATTTAATAAAAACATCTCCCATAAAGGTTCAAAAGGGGAGAAAATATGCTACCAATCCAACCTGCATTATTGGTATAATAAGTAAAATAAATTTTTGTTAAAGCATTTGTTAGGTATTCTACAGATGCTTCATAACATGGATGAGAGTAATTTAATTGTCCATTTTATAGTGTACAACAGCTAATCCATGAGTAATGCACCTGGTCTATTTTCTGCTTATGTACAGTACATTACATGCTGTACTCTGTGTTAAACAGATCAGCCACAACATTAAAGCCACTGGCAGGTCAAGTTAACTCGCTATAATGTCACCTGTCAAGGGGTGGGGTATATTAGGCAGCAAGCAAATGGTCTGTTCTTGAAGTTGATGTGTTGGAAGCAGGAAAAATGCCCAAGTGTAAGGACCGGTACCTACCAAGAGTCATCCAAGGAAGGACAACTGGTGAACCAGCAACAGAATCATGGGCTTATTGATGTGCATGGCAAAAGCTACTGTGGCACAAACCGCTGAAAAATGTGATGCTGCGATGATAGACAGGTGTGAGAACATACAGTACATTGCATCTTGCTGCGCAAGAGGCTACACAGAACTTAGACGCTGCTACCTGAAAATATCTTCTCTGCTGCAGAGCAACAAGATACTGTCCAGGGAAATTTGTTTTAAATAGACTAAATTTAAAAGATGCTGACTCAAATTAGGTTAGCTGAAGCTGCATTTGAACCTCAAACAAACTTTGGACAGAACAAACATAGTCTAGTTTGTCATTTTTTTGCAGCGTAATCACGTTCTGGGTGGAAACATTCACCGTCAGTGTGACATTGACTCAAACATATTCTCACATACACAAGACTACATCAGTATTGTTTTAACACCAACTTAAAAAATCCTGAACTATTCCTTTAATGTTGTGACTGATCGATGTATGCAAACTAGTAGTTTTAAATCTTAAGCATGAGCAGTGTGTTCCTGGTATTGCACAGGGGGGTGAGCCAGATCTCACCACAGTCTCCAAAATGGTGTTGAACGATTGGCAGAGAGGACGTATCCCATTCTTTGTGAAACCCCCTGGACCTGAGGGGGTTCCAGAGGTATGAGTTTATGGAATTTTCCGCCAGTGTTTTTTTGTTTTGTTTTGTTTTTCCCATTAAATTACTTTTTTCTACACCTGCTTGTGCCATGTTTGTCAGCCTTTGTTTTGCTACTGTTATTTTTCTAGGACAAGGAACTATTGCCAATTGAAGGACCCTCAGAGATGGTTGAGCATGTGCAGGAGGAAAACCTAGATAATCCAGAGACCAGCTCAGAGGAACAGCAGCAGCGGGAGCAGAGACAAAAGGAGCAGGTCCAGAAGATTCTGGCTAATGTGCGACAGAACTTTGGCAAGATCAACGTGGCACCTGAGTTCAGCGAGGAAGACCTGGTTCCTGTGGAGATGCCTGACCTGGACATATCTGATTTCTCCAGCTCTGATGAGGAAGGCAGCGAGGAGAAGGAAGATGCAGAGTACGATGGGAACAACATTGAGCCAGCTAATGAAGAAACTGAGGTCTGTGAGCCCGTAACGGCTCAAACGGGCAAAGCAAACAGCAACAAGAATTCACGGGAGGTAATCCGTGAACTGGATGAGAAGATTGCAAAGTACAAGCATTTTCTGGATCGGGCCAAATCCAAACGCTTCTCTGCAATCCGGTCAGTTGGCCATCACCCAAACCTCATTCATATATTTTTTTTGTCTTTTATCTAGTAAAGCAACATGCCGTTGCCATGCATTGTAGGTGGTTCATGCCCGAGGACTAGCAGTCATCAGTTTGACGGTCTGATCAGTGGCCTGTTTCCATAAGTGTTGCATGTCATTGTGTTCTTAAATGTACATCTCCTCTTGTTAAACTTCAACCCACACACTGAAGAACAAAGTCAAATAGTTGTATTACTCTGAACTTAATGTAATTACTGTTTATTTTAGCAGATCCCAATAGGAGTAAACATTTTAAACCATTTGGTAATGATTTAATTCTTTCTCTTGTCTTTAAACAGGATACCTAAGGCACTGTCTGACAGAGTGTTCACAGACATCAAGACTAAACAAGCGGCAGCAGCCAAGCAAGCACAAAAGAATGGTAGTTGATCAGCATGTTTGTCATGTTATGGCACTGAAAGATTTGGAAGATGTATTGGCTTTGGTTATGGTCCATAAAATCTTCCACCAGTCCTTAAAAGAGAATTAAAAGCACACTGTTATGCTGTCTTAGTAATACGAAAGTTAATTTTTCCATATTTGATGTAAAAATACATAATTTCACATTTGTATGGAGTTATTGTGATATCTGTAGGTATTTCTATTGCTGTATTATGCAATTTGTTAATACACCACTGTGTTGTATTTTTTGTTTACTTATTTTCTTATTCTATCTGTTTTGCTCACCTTAATTCTGTTTTATGATTACCCTGTTCTCTACTGTGACCGTGGGTTTTTTGAAAGGCACCTTTAAATGTATTAGTAGTAATAGTAGTAGAATATAAATATGCATATTTGGTGTCAGGTTGACATTGAAAACCTTGTCAGGCACTGACATTGGATTTTGTTCATCTTGGTTTGAATTCAGCTGCAGCCCAATGCAAGAAGAGGAAAGCTGAGGAGGTCGACAGGTCCAGCCAGCCACACAGACTGACCTCCAAACAGGTTTGCAGTGTTTGTTCTTTCCGACATCAAACAGTCTGTCTGACAAGATGCATTAGATGAATGTCAGTTTCTCTTAACTTGATGTAACAGGAATGACTATGTAAGCTCTGGTGTTTATTTGCAGACCTTTTCATCAGTTGTATTCTTCCCCTCTGTTCCTCTTTGCCTGTCTCTACAGAGAAGAGCAGTAGATCGCACTAAGAAGACGAAGAAAGTCGGCGTACGCTATTATGAAACGCACAATGTGAAAAATAAGAATAGAAACAAAGGTCCCAGCATCTATCACAGAGGGCCACAAGGCCAAAAGAACGAAGCACTAGGCTAGAATTATAACACACAACATGTAATAAATCTTTAAATTAGCCAGTTAGGCCTTGTTTTTATTGAAAATGTAGACTTTGATAAAAGCTGGAATGCTAAGTGTTAAGTGGTAGTAATCCAATGACCACTTTATGCCTTGTCTTGACCTGTACTGTCCCTTGGGAAAATGACTAGCTCACCTTTTTCAACTCTTTTTTTTTTTTCCCAACCATTTCTTATTTTAAGATTTGAATGTAAAAACAATTATAGATTTTTTCTTGACATTCAGGAAAAATGTACAGTGGTTGCTTAGGCTGTACTTTGTCATGTCAGGCCACTCAAGAAAAATAAAATATTTGCTGATTACACTGATATAATTGAGAAACAAGACAAAGGACAAAATAACCGTTTGTACTGGGAAATGGCAGCTCAGTTTTCTCTTGTTGAAGTTATTACTTTGGCACAATGAGCCCTTCCATTTGGGTCTGAAAAGAAAAAGAAGGTGGTATACATCTGGGGTCAAAAAGACAGCTAATGTAACATTAAATGCATCATCTGTAGACATATTTGTTTTGTATGTATTTATGAAACCACCTTGAGTTGCTGGTTGGCTCTCTTCAGGTACTGAATCTCCTCTTGCAGCAGCTTTTCTTGCAGATGTCGCTGTTCATTTTCTCTCTCTTCAATTGCTTCACATTTAGCTTTTTGTTCGTTGAGTTGCTTCTTCAGGTCTACTGTCTCATTTTCGAGATCAGAGTTCTACAGAATGTGGTAAGAAACATTTGTAAGCTAGTTTCAGACATAGGATTAATTATGTAATGTGTACTGCCACCGTCATTGTTTCACAGTGACTCCTAAAGTGAAATGGTGCTCTCTGCTGGACATCTAAATGAAAAAGTCTAACTGTATTCCCATCGCTTTAAATGAATGGCAAATTATTGCCAAATATGGGGCAAAAATTGAGATTTCTGGCTCCTGTGGTTCACTGGCTGTTGTGGGTCATAACAGATAACAAATAATGCAATGTCCTTACTCTCTTCTCCAGGTCAGCCTTGCTCTGCTCAATCTGCAGTGCTTTCCTCATGCCAAAAGCCACGCTGCTGTCATACAGTGCCTGGTAGGCAGCAATAGTCATTTGAATCTCATCTCTAACCCGCAACAGCATCAGACCCCTCTCAGCACAGTTGATGGTCACCTGTCTGATTAGCTCATCTTAAAGAAATTGAAAATTAGGAGGACCAGGCAGTTGTTTATTTGTGTAGAAATGTGCCTAGTAAAAATAAAGATATATCCACATGGACACAAAACTATTAAATATGCCCTTTAGTTGTGTAACTTCTGTGTATTAGGCAGTTTTTATTATCGTTATAACTACAGTGACCTCCGTAATCAGCAGCATCTTATCCTTCTCCTTACCAAAGCACTGGGAATAAAGCTCTCTTCGGATTGGGCAGATTCCTGTTTCCATGGCCTGCCTTTGATGCAGCTTTGTGTTCAGGAGGTTCTCTAGATGCATAATATCTGTTCTTGAAGTAGGTGTAGTGGACACTTTCTGCATCCACAGTTGGTTCTCCTGCATCCATTTCCTGAAATAGCAGAAGCTGAGATAAATGACGTGAATTACACCTGTTGAACAGTAATATACTGTAGATGGGGGAAACTACCTGGGTGGAAGGATGGTGTTCAGGATCGCCTCATTTTTCTGCCTGGTGGCGTCAGGTGATGCTGATCTTGACTTAGGAGGTGGTGGAACAGGGTTAGAATTAGTTGGCTGCTGAGGGTTCACTCTCAAAGGGCGCCCCTTTAGTCAAAGGTATTTTATATTACACATTGTATTGCCTTTATTTAATGTTACCTATACTGTGTAAATGGTTTTAAAGTGGCTGATACCTTTTTATATATATTTTTGCTTTGCCTTATGGTTCTGCTGCATAACTCATAAGAGCACACATTTAACAGGCTGAAAGGCAATGACATGCTGCTACAGGCTTAAAATTTTAATATACAGTAATGTGCAAATGTTTTAGATGTTTAGATTCTTGTCCATCAAGAACTCATCAGGAATCAAAGAAGAACAGTGGCAAGTTCTCCAAAATGCTTGGAACAACCCATCTTCTAAGGCCTACCTTTAAAAAAAATGTTTAAGGTCAAGGTGGAGAACAGATTTTCTCTTTTAATGCACTTTTTATATTTTTTATTAACTTAGAACTATTAGTGGGATTCTCACTCTGTAACATTTCTTATAAGCTTCTTCCCAAGTGCCTTAAACTTCGCAGTAGTTAGGCAATATAGCTGTATTTAAAGGACATACACACATAGGGAAGGAGCAGCTGGGGGAAAAGCAGCTAGCGTTACAGTTGTAACAATATTTTATTTAACCTGTATTTTACCAGAGAAAACCCCACTGAGGTTTCAGACCTCTTTTTCAGTGGTCCCCTGGCCCAGACGGCAGTATATATATAAAACAGACAACACTGAGATCACCGTACAGAAATTAAAAACTACAAAACACAAGTGCCAATCTGTTCTTTGCATTGCTGGCACACCTCGGCACGTCTACCTAGGTTATTCTACAGTTTGTATATACTACATCCTGTCCTCTCTTGTAATAATTTCTAGTTTTCTCCCTCCTGCCTGGCAACACTTTAATCTCCTACCTGCTATATCACATTATCTGACCTCCGTTGACATCAAAGTTATTTGGTGGCCTCACCCTTGGCGATTTTCCGTCTGTGCTATTGCTGATCAAAACTGGACTGTCATATTTCAGGAGAGACTCGGCTGGTGGAAACATTGCGTTTGCTATGAAAATAATAAAGGTATGTACTAAAACCGGCTTCAGTTAAACGGATACCTTCGCTGTTGCTAACGAAAAGTTCGTGCTTAGTGTTGTCGTTGTCACGGCAACAGCAGCCTGGCGATTCATTTTAGTTTAACCCTGGTGTTCTGTTTAACCGAGTGGAACCAACGAGGTGGACAGTGAGCATGCCGAAATAGATTCCCGGCGTACTACCGGAAACGGAAGTGAGTTTGCGAACAAAACAGTCGAAGTTTGTAATCGCTCCGATTTTAAGTTTTCGTTCGCTTTTATACTCCTTTGTGTTCTCGATAATGTGTATCCAGTCACATTAACGGTTGAATTGATATAATTATTTTGCAATGTCCAAAGAAAAGCGCCACAGGAGAAAGGACTCTCCGGAACGAGAGTCCAAAGTTAAGACGAACCAGGAGAAACAGAGCCCTGTTAGGCCACAGAGATCACGCCGGTCGAGGTCGAGATCCAGCGGTAACTCCAGTCCACAGAGGAGAAGGACAAGCAGGTATATACGGTATTATGTTCCTATATAGCCTCGGTGTGTTATTAATTTTCACAGACACAACATGTGCGTTCGTCATAACCCAGAATCACTTTTATTGGGCAGGTGTGTTGGATACACGAGGAATTTACCTTCGGTACAGTGGCTCTCAATATGTATGTACAATATTCTTCCGTAAGGCAACGAGTATACAAGTGAACTGAGAGAACAAAAAAGAGATGTGCATTAGCAATATAAAATGAAGTACTTATATAGAAATATAAATACACATAGATGCATTTTTAAAGATAGATATATACAAAGGTACATTTTCAAGGTATTGCACTGAGGGTTATCATTCTGTTATACAGTCATAGGTTAAGTGTGCATCAGAGTGATGGTCTGGGGGAGGAAACTGTCCCCCTGTCTGGTTGTCTTGGTGCACAGTGACCTGTAACACCGTCCAGAGGGGAGGAGTTCAGTTTGTGTTCATCATGTGAGGGGTCTGCAGTGATCCTCTCCACCTTCCTTTTGACCCGTGAGGTGTACAGGTCCTCCATGGAGGGCAGACTGGCACCAATGACCTTTTCTGCAGTCCTGAGTGTTTGCTGGAGTCTGTTCTTGTCCTGTTTTGGTTGCTGAGCCAAACCAGACAGTGATGGAGGTGCAGAAAACAGACTTGATGATTCCTCTGTAGAACTTTATCAGCAGCTCCAGGGGCAGGTCGAACTTCCTGAGCTGGTGCAGGAAGTACATCCTCTGTTGTGCCTTCTTGAGGATGGTCTTGATGTTGAACGACCACTTCAGGTCCTGGGAGTTAGTGGAGCCCAGGAACTCGTAGGACTTTACTGCTGATACAGTGCTACCAAGTATGGTGAGGGGAGGTAAGGTGGGGGGGCTCTTCCCGAAGTCCACTGTCATCTCCACTGTTTTGAGTGTGTTCAGCTGCAGGTTGTTGCGACCACACCACAGGGCCAGCTGCTCAACCTCCCATCTGTGTGCCGACTCATCACCGTATTAAATGAGACCAATGAGTCACCTGTGGAAATTTTGTAGTTTAACAGAAGGGCCCTCTGAGGTGCAGTCGTTTTGTATAGAGGGAAAACAGCAGCAGGGAGAGCGCACATCCCTGGGTGGCGACTGTGCTGATAGCCCAGGTCGTGGATGTAATTTTTTTCCCAGCCTCACATGCTGAACCCTGTCTATCAGAAAGCTGGTGATCCACTGACAGGTGGGGGCAGGCACAGTGAGCTGGGTCAGTTTGGAATGGATAATGTACTGGATGATGGTGTTGAACACCAGTCTGAAGTCCACAATGAGGACCTGTGCATAGGTCCCTGGGGAGTGGCTCAAAGCAGTTGCATTTTAATGGAAACTATTTGTTTTGTTTTGCTTTTTTAATAAAAGTGTAGTCCTAAGGGTCTCCTGTGTTCTTCATGTAGGTCACCTGCCAGGATGAGGGACCGCTCACCAGGTAGAAGAGTGTCGTCTCCCGCCAGACGAGGAAGCAGATCTCCAAGAAACCGGCGAAGTCGCAGTCCCCATCGTGGTGCTGATGTCAAAATTAAGAGGGTAAATATGCTTTAACTCATTAATAAGATGCTGTACAGCTTGGTAAGAATAAACAGCAATTCAAAAATGGCAATAGTGTACTTCCTTTAAGCAGAATATTGTTATACCAGTTTTTGCTGACATGCATTGCCCAAAAAGTGGGGACCAGTAGTTATCTTTTTTTTTTTTAACGTGTTCAGTTGCTGGTGCTGGTGTATTATGGCACTTAATTATATCACTGTGCCACTTGAAGTGCCATTAGCAGATGCAATTTCTTACTGGCATAAACCCACATGAACACTGGTTTTACTGGCTTTTGGTATCTGGCGCTCAGGTCAGTGGCTTGTTGTGCATTAAAAACTGTTGGTACCATAGTGTGCCAATTAGAAACTGTGTAAAAATGAATAAATGCACAGTTCAACAACTGAATAGTTTTGCGCAGGAGCGGGATGAGCCTCGAGTCAGTGGTGATGAGCGGAGGAGAAGAAACGACCAGCCAGAGGAGAGGCAGAGCAGGTGGGAATCAGACAGACCACGGCAGAGAGACCGTGGTGGAGACAGACACAGAGAACGAGATGCACGTGCTTCCCAGCAAGCTGAGCGACAGCAGCACAATGAGCGGCGCAGAGAGAACCGACAGCAACGTAAAGAAAACCAAGAGCATGATTTTGGAGAGTCTGAAGGAGAGAGAAATGGCACAAATGATCCTCCTGTTGAGAAGGAGAGGCCCAACTTTGAACTGTCAGGGGCACTCACAGAAGATACCAACACATTCCGAGGGGTGGTGATCAAGTACAACGAGCCACCCGAGGCTCGCATTCCTAAGCGAAGATGGCGACTGTACCCCTTCAAAAATGACGAACCCCTTCCAGTCATGTATATTCACAGACAGAGTGCTTATTTATTGGGGCGGCAGAGAAGAATTGCTGACATCCCCATTGACCACCCATCATGCTCCAAGCAACATGCAGTATTGCAGTATAGGTAAGAGTAACAACAACTGGCTTAGGTGTTTTGCTGTAGTTTATTGCTAACTTTAATCTATATAATTCAGACAAAATCTGTTCAACCTGTCATATATTTGGACCAGTATGATGCTTTGTGCTTGGATGATTTTGTTCTCTTATAAATAAAATGTCTTACTTTCTATATTGATTTCCCTAGACTGGCAGAGTTTACACGCGCAGATGGCACCACTGGCCGCAGGGTAAGGCCTTACATCATTGACCTGGGTTCGGGCAACGGCACCTACCTGAACAACCAGTGGATTGAGCCCCAGCGCTATTACGAGCTCAAAGAAAAAGATGTTCTCAAGTTTGGCTTCAGTAGCCGCGAGTACGTCCTCCTGCATGAGTTCTCAGACACAAGCGAGGTGGATGCCAAACAGGAAGAAGAGGACGAGGGCCTCGATGAGTAAATCGTTCCCATACTCTATATTGCCTACGTTGATTCAGGTAAAATCACATCATCATATTGTTATACCAGTTTTTGCTGACATGTGTTGCCCAAAAAATGAAGAGCAGTAAACATTTTTAAAGGCACATTACATTTGTGGTTATTGGCACCTTTTTCATGTGCAGTTGCTGTTGCAGTATTATGGTACATAATTATATCACTATTACATTTAATGTGCCATTAGCAGATACAAGTTCTTACTGGCATAAACCCATGTACGTGGACACCGGTTTTACACTAGCTTTTGGTGTCTGATGCTCATGTCAGTGGCTTGTTGTGCATTAAAAACTGTTGATACCATAGTGTGCCAATTAGCAACTGTGTAAAAATGAATAAATGCACAGTTCAGCAATTGATTTGTTTTGTGTCTCAAACATCGTTTGAATTTGAGGTTATTCTTGTGTGCAGAGTGAATATTTGCTACTACAAAGATGTTTGCATATTAATTCAGACAAAATCTGCAATATATACAGTAGTATTTTTTTTGACCAGTATGGTGCATTGTGTTTGGATGACCTGGTTTTAGGAAACGGCACCTATCTGGACAACCAGCGGATCAAGCCCCAGCACTATTACCAGCTCAAAAAAAAAACAAAGATGTTCTCAAGTCTGGCTTCATTGCGGTGAGTACTTGTCAGACACAGATGAGGAGAACGCCAAACAGGAAGAGGATGACGACAGCCTCTGAGTAAATTGTTCCTATAAACTGTACTGCCTACATTCTGTTAGGTATAAAAACATAATCATCAGCGGTCAAGACATGGAACAATGAATTGAGCTGGTAAACGAATGACTTTAATATTTAAACAAGGCTGGTTTGTATATTCTGAAATTATTGAACTATTGCTTAGACCTGCCACAGCTGTCTCAGAGAAGACTTCCTATTCTCAGGTTTGTGTAATGTCTGTGTGATGCATTACTGATCTTTCATCTGACAGTACTCGTCATAAAAAAGTGCCCAGTGCCAGGTAATGATATCCTGCTTAATGCAACAGTTAATTATATATTTTTGGATCACAGCACTGAGTACAAAGTATAGCTGAAGACTAATCTTGTGTCTAAGTCCAGGCTGTATCCAGTATGTCAGTGTGCATGTTAATGTAGAATGTGAATTTTAGATTCACAAATGTTTTTTGGTTTTTTTTTTTTTTTTTTTTGCTTTGTAGTGCAGAGAAAATAGCTAATGCTGTTGTTTCCTTGCACCAATGCATACTGCATATATAAACGCTTTTTCACCTGTGCACAGGCAAACAGCATCCATAGCAAATTTCTTTTTTTGTACTGTAAATAAAGAGCAAAATTTCTGTTGTCTAAAGCGACTTACTGTAAACACCTCATAAGATCTGTGTATTTTTTATTTGTACTTTATATGCTGTTACATACACTATACCATAGATATCAGAAGTGAATACTAATAAGCATTATAGGTATCATTTGTTTGATAGGGGTGCATTTATTATTCTTATTTTCAGACGGATCTACTTTTTCTTTGATAGTGTTTATTTATTGACGAGGCATTTATTTCTGTGCAAAAAGACACAATAAATACAGCTGGGACACAAAAAGCGACCGCGTTTGTTTTTAAGAGGCCACCACATCATTTTTATTTTCAGAAATGTACCCCATCCCAGAATTATTATTTTTATTTATATATTCAGCAGCAGGGGTCATGCGAGAGCCTGTGTGGCATCCAGTTTCAGCAAATGTATGCGGGCGGAGCAGGTGGGCGGGTCGACTGGAGAGGAGTACCGGGAATGTTCCTGGATATGTCGCACGAGCGGAGGCGGCGACGCACCTGGGGAATTACAAGAACAAGTAATTATGATGTCGCGTTTTTAAAAGAGGTGGTTCCCACGTAGCACATGCATTGCGTTTCAGTTGCGGAAAAAGGCTGAACATGTACACGACAGAGCGCAGGCGAATGAGCCTGCACGAGCTGAAGAGGAAAGATCCAGTGTGGGTGTCGGCTGGAAGTTTCTGGCAGGACTCTAAGGCGATAGAGCTGAGCGGCTCGAGTAAACAGGTCGTCTCTCCTCGGAGTCGGACCAGAGCCGTGTCCGTGGCATACATTGCGAACGTGGGCGCATCGGTGCCGCAGACTGAGGAAAACTTATCACTGAAATGTCTGAAGGAAGCGTGCGCGGACGCGCACGCAGTGTTCAAAACCATTTCGTTTGAGAGATTATCACTGGGGACCACAGATACACTGGATAATTTCTACAACGCAGGCAAGTGAAGGCATGCTCACTGTGGAAATGAGTTTGGATGACACCTATACGCAGGAGTACACCAGTTACGCAAACGTCTTTGAATTTCTCCCACAGATGTAGCAGTTGTTGAGATGAGTGATACTTTCTGCCAGCCTTCTCTCTTCTACCACCTGGGAGTGAGAGAAAGTTTCAGCATGACTGATAACATAATTCTGTATTGTTACAAGCAAGATAGTGATCTACAGGCTGCTAAGGTAACTTCACAGCAACACATCCTTCCATTGTTTAGTATTATTGTAAATTAATGTGATATTTAAATGTAGGTTGCCACCATGGTTGGATTACTAGATGAGCAAAGTGGGAAGTCAGTGTTCTTGACAGACACAAAAATGGAATAATTGCTCATTTGTTTCAGAATACCCACCATTCAAAATAAATAGATATAATCATAATATAGCAGTGGTTCTGCAGAGGGTGACAAATGAAAGGGAGTAACCAGCATGAAGTGACTTAGTGTTGGGCCCAGAAGAGTCAGGTTTTTCCCTGTAATCTGGTTTTATATAAAAGAGATCTGATGAAGAAGATATTTATATATTATATGGTTTGAAATCAGGAGCAAATCACTTGTGTTGATATAAGAATTTTGCTGAAATAAAACGTGAAGTATTAGAAGCAGAGCCGCTTGCAACGATGTTTCAGCCTCATCAAGTGTGTATTTGTCCCTTTTGACATGTGGGTTCCTTCCTTTAGGAGCAGTGTGGGAGTTACACATTCATCCCTTACATAGTGTCGCCTCAGGGAAAGGTGTTCGCCTGTGATGCCACAATGATGTCTGGTATCCAAGAGTTGATGCAGCCTAGTTTCCAGCTGGAGCCCCTGCTTACCCCCCTGGTGGAGAGACTGCTGCATCTGCTCAACAATGTACATATTCAGTCCAGGTCAGGCATAAACTGCAGGGTTCTGTTCACCAAAAAGATAATCTCAGATTATACATGGATTTGCTTACACTGTAACTCACAGCTTCCTCCAAGTTTGACTTCACACAGTTGATTATTAGCATTTATGAAAGTGTTGAATGTTACAACCCCTTTTTACTCTGACAGTGAGTACTTCCGGGAGTCAGTCAGGCATGAGATTCGTACGGCACGTGAGCGTTTCAGCGGCCAAGACCTGAGCAAGGAGTTGAGCCACATCCAGAAACGCCTGGACAGTGTAGAGCTGCTCACTCCTGATATAGTTATGAACCTGCTGTTGTCCTACAGGGACATTCAGGTGTGTATGTTGACGTTTATGTGTGCATCTCTGTGCGAGTAAATGCGGTCTACAAGAAGTGTGTCATGGGTGTAGGGGTAATTTTTCATTAAAAAAAAAATTATTTCTTAAATATTGTGTTTTTATTATTGTGTTCAGTTCACGGTGATATGAGGAAAAAGAAACATGCTAATCGTTACATTTGAGAAGCTGGATCCTACAAATGTTGGGCAATAATTTAATAAATCAGTACTCATTGGATCATCTAATTGATTAATTCAGGATTAAATAAGTGTCTCTTGGTTGGAATGTGACAATTCCTGTGTTTTACTATCAAAATATTATTAAGGACATAAAGCAGATGTTTAAAATGATTTTTAGCAGGAAATGTTGAAATAATGTAAAATATTACATGTCTGCAAATGTGAGGATTGTAAATACTATGTTGGAATTCTGTGCCTTCTTAGGACTACGATGCCATAATCAAACTGGTGGAGACTCTGAACAACTTGCCCATGTGTCTGGTAGCAAGACATCCGAATATCCAGTTTCACTACATATTTGCTTTAAGCAGGTATCCAGATGGCGTCTGTTGTCTTGGGATTTTTTTTAACACTTTAGCATAATCTCATCTTCGGTTTGAGCCTAGTGTTTTTGTTCCTGTTTACCTTGTGTGTATGCAGATTATAAGGGTTTGGCTTTATTCAAGCTACATCACTGCTGATTTGATAAAAAAAAAATTTCCATGCCAGGAGGAATCACCCCGGGGATCGCGCTAAGGCTTTGGAGGCAATTCTGCCTTTTGTGGAGTCGGAGGACAGGGTGGCATCGGATGTCTACTGCCTGTGTGGACGGATCTACAAAGACATATTCATGAGCTCTGGGTTCACAGATCAGCACAGCAGGGACCGGGCCTGCTACTGGTACACCCAGTTTTTCTGTTTGTGGATCTGGTCATACATAAGACGGCTTTTGGCTGTTTTAGACGACAGTGATGCAACATTTAGCAGTTGTTTTAATTGGTGCTGCAGTTTATTATTATTCAGATGTTATTCTTTCCCCTATCTATTGCTGTTTTGGTATATTCCATCAGTGCTGGCTTTATATCATGTTTTAGGTATGGAAAAGCGTTTGAGACGGAGCCAACCCTTCACTCGGGCATCAACACTGTGGTTCTTCTTATCTCAGCTGGTCATGAATTTGGAACTTCAGTTGAGCTGCTCAAAATAGGTGCTTTGTGCTTTTTGCTTTCTTTGTCAGAGAGAATCAGTGACACATGCCTGCTTTGGAGAAAATACCAGTTTGTGGTCTGTAGATTCAGTGTGCTTTACTATTTGTGAATTATACTTTATGTTATAGGGTAGAGGTAAGCCACAGTTAAGGTTATATGTTAATGTTTTTAAGAAACTGTGCAAAAGTCCAGAAAACCTCTTTTAATTTACCATAAATTCTATCATAACAAGGGAAACGCTAAACATTTTTAGCTGCCTAAAATGCAGCAGTTATACATCCAATGTCATGTCACTCAGCTTTAAGCATAAACTAGTAGATGTACTGTAGGAGAGTGTATTTCTATATATGCTTTTCACACTACACATGAACAGTTAATTGTTTTGCACTGTGTTATTATGTTGCTATTTAGGTGTGACCCTGAGCACCCTGCTTGGTAGGAAGGGTAGCTTGGAGAAGATGAAGGACTACTGGGATGTTGGCTTCTACCTTGGAGCGAACATTTTAGCTAATGAACACAAAAAAGTCATCGATGCTGCTGAGAAACTCTACAAGCTCAAAGCTCCTATCTGGTGAGGTTTAAGCACTAGTTCTTGATTAGTAGTAATCATGCAGATTTTAATCATCAGAATTCAGTCACCAGTGCATGTTAGTTTAAATCGGAGACGGCATTTAGATTGAATTCTCTCTGATATCCATATTTGTTATGTGGATTAATGAGTTTAGTGTTTCTTTCAGGTTTGTGGCATCCATTATGGAGACCTACATCCTGTACCGCCAGTTTGCCAAGCTGCCTGAGGTGAGATCTCCTAAACAGGACAGCATGGACTTCTGGATGGAGCTGTTTTTGCAGACCTGTAAACCCACCATCTCCACAAACCGCTGCCCAGTAAGACGACACAGTTACCTTAACAGTAACTCCAACAATAAGCTGAAAGCTTCCATCTTCTTTGGAAGTTACTATCTGTTAAAAAGCACTCACCTCTGTGCATTTTGAGTTTGTTCCAGTATGGATGGATTTAGTCAGGAAATAATGGAGAAAGCAGGATGTCTTTGAACGTCATGAGGCTATTATAAAATATTGGCAATAGAATTTGAATCGCTTTGTTTTCAGGTGCTTATTCTGGAGCCCAGTAAAGTCCTTCAGCCAGCTATTGTGTGTGTGAGTGAGGAGGATGAAAGTCACACCGTAGAGTTGAAACACATCACACCCTTCAAGGTATGTAGACTCACTCTGCAGCCACTCTTTTCCCCAAATACACCTGTCTATGAGTATCTGCTATACACCCACAGTATACACAGAAATTTTCATAATAAAAGAAATAATTAACTTTTCTCACATTGATTTATGGTCTAGAGAGTGTTTAACCTGTGAAGGGTGCAGTTGTGTTTACTGAGCATCGCTGTGTGTTTAAAAAAAAAGACTTGTTCTCTTGCATGTGTCTGTACGGTCAAATAAAACATGCTCTTGTCATGTGTAGCAGACTGTGTAATTGGCCTGTTTTTTACTTTGATTCTACAGAAAGGTTTACATGAGTGGACATTTCCAGCCTCTGCAATTCGAGGAGTAAGGTAAAGTGGAGCACCATATTTGCTAACATCTCTTTTTAAAATGTTTGCTCTGAGTTCTGGGTGTGTTCAAGTCTGCAGTAAAGTCAGAGAACCCAAAGCATGAGGGCTGTCTGACAAACCCTGGCTCTCGGTCAGATGTACTGTGTCAAAAGGGTTTCAGGCTTTGCTTCTTTTTGTTGGTGTTCTGTGGCAACTGATCATTGTCACTGTGTACTTTAGCCTCGTCTTCTCTGCTGATTTGTCACATGAGCAGATTTCAGCAAATACCCCAAACTGTCAGCAAACAACTTTATCAGATCATTGGGTGAACATTTAAAAACACCTTGAATAAATGCTCATCATCAGCATTTAATCATTTCCCCCTATTTGTTTACCTAAAGCTGATAGTGAAATTCAAACATTAGTCGTCGCTTTCCTGGAGTAGAAAAATGGGCCCATAGCAATAAGAATTCAGTTTCCATGCATCAATTATGAACAGTTCAGATCTTTTGATGTGCATTTGTTTCTGAAGTGTTTCAAAGACTGACGAGAGGAGCTGCTTCCTCTATGTCCACTACAACTCTGATGACTTCCAGCTCTGTTTCCCCTCTGAGCTTCATTGTAAAGGGTGAGTGACTAATAACTTGGTACAGTGGGGTGTAACACGTGTTTGTGTGTGTGTGTGAGAGAGAGGCAGTGAGAGGGACTTGCTCAGTGACCAACTGACTGGCTAGATAAAGATGAACCGACCATCATTACAGGGTGCAGGAGATAATCAGCAGCTGACAGACGTAAAAACAAACACGGTTTTGCAGGCTGAGTGGTAGTCACTAGCCTGGAAAAATGAGTGTGGTGCAGTCGTACTGTATGAGTCACATTTCCTTTATTGCTCTCTTAAAAATATCCCCTTACGACAGTTCACTCTCAATTCAAGAGTCAGTTCAACCAAGTCTTTTAACCTTGAGTGCTATAGATTCATTCATTCAAAAACTGATGAAACGTCTTCTTGCAATAAATCAACAATAATGGAAGTGAACTCATTCACATACTTGTAATGTGTGTCCCTGACGTCTAACAAATGTGTTGAGTGCATTTCCTTCCTTATAAAATAGCTGCAAAGCTGACTTAAAAGATAAATCATGCATTGTTTACAGTCATGTTTTTTTACAAAACAGTTTGGCATGAAACTGACTACAGAATGTGAATTGCACCATCCATGTGCATGTATTTGAGTCCTTTTGCAAATGCATGATTCAAACACAGTGGGCACCCGCTAGTAAAAAATTTTGGTCCCTATGGTCTGAGTCACTGGAACAGCCTTTCAGAGGAGCCATCTATCTATCCTAAAATTTATTTCAGCTTATCTTATCTATCTAGATTTTTTGCCTGTCTTAGCCTTTTACTAGTATAAATTGAGTTAAGTTAGATGGTCAGTAAAGGGCATATTTTCCATCTACATTAAAGTCTTCTCTCGCTGCTCTGTTACCAGTTTTTGCGAGCTGGTGAACTCTCTGCTTCAGCAAACCGAAGCCCCTGCTCAAGACCTTGACCATCTAACTGAGGAAGTACTAGAGGTCAGTCACAGTTCATTGTGCCGCCTTATACGTCTCACTTGCCTCAACAAATAGAAAAACAACTGTGATTGCTGGGGGACACTGAATTCTCAAGGGAAGGAAACATTCCCATAACATAATGGTCAGAGTTTCCACAAACATTGGCATTGTTTACAGTATTTGTATGTGTTAATAGTTATATACATCCATATATTTTTTTTCTTCACTCTCAGAATACAGGACTCATGATTTCATGTCGGACGTTCCTGAATGAACCATGTGTTCTGTCTTAATCGTTTTCTCTTTCACTTCTTGTGGTGGCCTGCAAAATTCTTCACACTCCTGCATACTCATTCATGCCATCTCCACCTCATTCTGCAGTACATTTACGAGACCAATGAGAATGGCGAAAAGGTGGTCCTGGGTAAAGGGACGTATGGTGTGGTGTACGCCGGGAGGGACCTGAGCAACCAAGTGCGCATCGCCATCAAAGAGATCCCTGAGAAGGACAGCATGTATGAGGAGCACACATTATTTTTAATTCCCTGCAGCTTTGTGCCACTGAGAGCCATCACTCACCAGGAGACGCTAAGCTGTGGCGCTTCTCACATCAATGTTTTTCTCATAATACCCCTAATGGGAAAGGATTTGGTAGAGATAGCACTCACCAGCATGTACTGGATTGCCAGTGCTCTTTTTTTCTGCTCAGGGAAGATGGATGAGTGTTTTAGACTTTTTATTCTTTGTTAGTACTCAGTAATCTGAACAAAGAGCTCAGGCTCACACTGTAGCATTGTTTGGAAAGAAAAGATTTAATCAAAGAGAATATGATATTGACATTAGTTTCTAAGCATTTAATTGCCAAGCCTGTGTGTTTGTATCCAAAACACAGCAGAATGTTTATCTTATGACTCTTCTGATGCTGTAGTTATCTGGGGAGTTGTGCAATGTGTTTTCATTTTGATGGATTTGCTTTGATACCTGCATTGGTCAGCACCTTGCTCCAGATGTAAAACAAGGAAACTGTGAATATCACACCAGTTCAATTCAAATCGGACTCAAGGTCCAGATAAAAAATGGCATAATGCATACATGCATACATAAATACCACACAGATTGCAGTGAGACAGAAAAAAGTATATACTGTACTGTATATATTTTCATGTTTTTAGGAGTACTGACTTTAATTTAAACGACTGAGGCCCTTTGCTATTTCTTTTATACATTAAACCTGATCATTCTCCAGCTATACAAAAGTAAGGATTTGTTGGAAAAACCTCAATTATCACAATATTAGCTACATATATGAACAAGGAGATTTAAGAGTTTATCTTGCACACTCCAGACAATGTAGTTTTGCATCTCTTGAGATACTCCATTGTTGATCTTTTACGATTCTGAACACATCTTGCTTTTCTTCTGTCTCCCAGGTACTCCCAGCCCCTCCATGAGGAGATAGCTCTACACAGGAGGCTGAAACACAGGAACATTGTCCAGTACCTGGGCTCTGTCAGTCAGGATGGTTTCATCAAGATTTTCATGGAGGAAGTACCAGGAGGTATGGATCCTAAAATGGACACTTCTAATGCTTTTAGTGGCAAAGACCAATAGAAAGCATTCATTTATAGCATATATAGTTTTTATTATATTTTTCTAATTACTTTCTGGTGAGTTTTATTTTTATACATTCAGATCAGCTTATGCGGTCATTCCTCTTCACGTTCATCTGACACCCAGATTCAGATGAATACTTCTCATCTGCAGACAAATACTTATACGCTGACATCAGTTTTTGCTTTTTGAAACGTTGAGTGACACGAAAACAGGCAGGGTCATGAGTTTCCTTGGAAATTGCATAACATAACGAAGCCCTGCCCATGCTGTTAGTTGTGTGGCTTTGCTACAGAAGGAGGATGTTTTGTTTTTTTTCTTAAGCACCAAGGAAGTTGGCGTCTGTCTTATGTATTTGGATTTACGAGTGCATGTGTGATTGTGTAATGTCTTCTGGAAGACAGTTTTAAGGAAGTGGGTGGTTACAAAGACTCCCTGCTCATTGGAGAAAACTGTCTGATGACATTTTACATTCCTGCCTATAGGAAGTTTGTCTTCTCTTCTCCGCTCCAAATGGGGTCCTCTAAAGGACAACGAAGCCACAATCATCTTCTACACCAAACAGATCCTTGAGGGGCTCAAATACCTTCATGACAATCAGATAGTCCATAGAGACATTAAGGTGAGCAGAGCTCTCTGGGAAGTAACATGGCAAATAATTATTTTATATTGCAGACTAATTTTGTCCTATAGCTTTGTAGGATGAGACAGCAGAATGTTGTGAAACCACATAATGTGGATAAACGTGTCTTTGCTGCAGGGTGACAATGTACTGATAAACACATATAGTGGAGTACTGAAGATCTCTGACTTTGGGACCTCAAAACGTTTAGCAGGGATCAACCCCTGTACCGAGACGTTTACTGGTAAGATGTGCAACATTTATTGCACAGTCTTGTGTCACACATTTTGATTTTCACAAAGTTAACAATAGTATGAGGAGATACTGTATTTTTGGTTACAGTAGCATTTTATTCACAGTTATGATTTTTCAATAGGAACTCTCCAGTACATGGCTCCGGAAATTATAGACCAAGGGCCCCGAGGTTATGGGAAGCCAGCTGATATCTGGTCCCTAGGGTGCACTATCATAGAAATGGCAACAGGAAAAACTCCATTCCATGAACTGGGAAGTCCTCAGGCAGCCATGTTCAAGGTAAAGAGGGGAAAGTTGTCATTTATGTAGATGTTTTTAAGTGCAGATAGTGGAGATTTTACTAAATTATAAATATAAATTGGCAAATATGAATGTTTTTATGCCTTCCTGTGGGTGGCAGCTGTGGATGGAGGCACTAAGGGTGGCTTCACGTTAGGGACCCAGGCCCAGATCTGAGTACACCTGTCCCCAAAGTCCAGTTCATTTTGATCAGTGTGAACGCAAGCGTACCAGACTCAGGCACTGTGCCCGAGTTCACTTGAAGAGGTGGTCTCGAGCGCGATTCATGTGTACTCGTCTATGGTCCGTGGGAGATGTGAACACAACCAACCAACTCGGTACATACACAAGTGTGCTGGGGCATGGAACAATGTCATTAATGTGACAGCAGATCTGCAGGGGAGAGGGGAGTGGAGGGAGCAATCATGCTCGGTACGAAACAGTTGTGCCTAATGTGAAAACATCCTAGGTTTTCGGGTTGTCTGTCTGTCCCTCCATATCTCAGGAACGTCTTAAAGAAGTTTATTCAAATTAAACCCAAATGTCCACTTGTATTGAAGGATGATGTGACAAAGCTTTCTATAGGTCCTCTCTAAAAATATTAGTGAAGACGGCATGTTTATCACTAGAATTTATTCACTGGAATATACATATCAATATAGTGACAACTTCCATTTTGCCAAAAAATACACAATATATTTTATTAAATTCCTTCAACATCTTCGCTACATACAGTATATCATATGTGTCTGGACAGACATAAACTACAACTTGATTGGCTGGCAGAGGCATACAACCACAAGAATAATTTTAGTTAAATAAGGAGAATGGAGTTTTATTTTTTTATTAAAAGCTCCATCTTAAAATTCACAGTAAAAATCATAACCTGTGCTTTGTGGTTCTGGATCTTAACTATTGGTTGGATTGGAAAGAAGTGCTGCACAGATATGATTGTACATGATGGAATCCTAATAACTTTGGTGATACCCCAACTTCTCCTCTAGCCACTACAAGACTGACATATTTCTAAAACATGTAGTCTCAGTGTAAAACTGTTTGATTGAATGTGAACAGTTTCATTGTAAATGACAATCTTCAGATTCTGTCATTAACCATTAAACAATCTCATCAAGGTGGGGATGTTTAAGATCCACCCCAAGGTTCCAGAGTGCATGTCGGACAAGGCAAAAGGCTTCATCATGAATTGTTTCGTGCCAAACCCAGACAACAGAGTCACCGCTGCAGAGCTGCTGAAGGACGCCTTCCTCAGGTCGTCCCCTAAAAAGAGAGTTAAGGCTCCTCAGGAATCAAAAGACTCCCTTTCCACTGGTGAGGCTTCAGTACACTTAAACTTCACATCATGTTTTTCTTTTTCAAGATGTTGTTAACAGTTTGTCAGATGTTTATTCAAATTTATTTTTATTTACAGTGGGTACGGAAAGTATTCAGACCCCCTTAAATTTTTCACTCTTTGTTATATTGCAGCCATATGCTAAAATCATTTAAGTTCATTTTTTCCTCATTAATGTACACACAGCACCCCATATTGACAGAAAAACACAGAATTTTTGACATTTTTGCAGATTTATTAAAAAAGAAAAACTGAAATATCACATGGTCATAAGTATTCAGACCCTTTGCTCAGTATTTAGTAGAAGCACCCTTTTGAGCTAATACAGCCATGAGTCTTTTTGGGAATGATGCAACAAGTTCACACCTGCATTTGGGGATCCTCTGCCATTCCTCCTTGCAGATCCTCTCCAGTGCTGTCAGGTTGGATGGTAAACGTTGGTGGACAGCCATTTTCAGGTCTCTCCAGAGATGCTCAATGGGTTCTTCTGATCATCCCTGAGATGGTTCTACACCTTCATTTGAGTCCAGCTGTGTTTGATTATACTGATTGGACGTGATTAGGAAAGCCACACACCTGTCTATATAAGACCCTACAGCTCACAGTGTATGTCAGAGCAAATGAGAATCATGAGGTCAAAGGAACTGCCTGAAGAGCTCAGAGACAGAATTGTGGCAAGGCACAGATCTGGCCCAGGTTACAAAACCATTTCTGCTGTACTTAAGGTTCCTAAGAGCACAGTGGCCTCTATAATCCTTAAATGGAAGACGTTTGGGACGACCAGAACCCTTCCTAGGGCTGGCCGTCTGGCCAAACTGAGCTATCGGGGGAGAAGAGCCTTGGTGAGAGAGGTACAGAAGAACCCAAAGATGACTGTGGCTGAGCTCCAGAGATGCAGTCGGGCGATGGGAGAAAGTTGTAGAAAGTCAACCATCACTGTAGCCCTCCACCAGTCGGGGCTTTATGGCAGAGTGGCCCGACGGAAGCCTCTCCTCAGTGCAAGACACCTGAAAGCCCGCATGGAGTTTGCTAAAAAACAGCTGAAGGACTCCAAGATGGTGAGAAATAAGATTCTCTGGTCTGATGAGACCAAGATAGAACTTTTTGGCCTTAATTCTAAGTGGTATGTGTGGAGAAAACCAGGCACTGCTCATCACCTGTCCAATACAGTCCCAACAGTGAAGCATGGTGGTGGCAGCATCCTGCTATGGGGGTGTTTTTCAGCTGCAGGGACCGGACGACTGGTTGCAATCGAGGGAAGGGTGAATGCGGCCAAGTACAGGGATATCCTGGACGAAAACCTTCTCCAGAGTGCTCAGGACCTCAGACTGGGCCGAAGGTTCACCTTCCAACAAGACAATGACCCTAAGCACGCAGCTAAAATAACGAAGGAGTGGCTTCACAACAACTCTGTGACTGTTCTTGAATGGCCCAGCCAGAGCCCTGACTTAAACCCAATTGAGCATCTCTGGAGAGACCTGAAAATGGCTGTCCACCAACGTTTACCATCCAACCTGACAGAACTGGAGAGGATCTGCAAGGAGGAATGGCAGAGGATCCCCAAATGCAGGTGTGAAAAACTTGTTGCATCATTCCCAAAAAGACTCATGGCTGTATTAGCTCAAAAGGTTGCTTCTACTAAATACTGAGCAAAGGGTCTGAATACTTATGACCATGTGATATTTCAGTTTTTGTTTTTTAATAAATCTGCAAAAATGTCAAATTCTGTTTTTCTGTCAATATGGGGTGCTGTGTGTACATTAATGAGGAAAAAAATGAACTTAAATGATTTTAGCATATGGCCGCAATATAACAAAGAGTGAAAAATTTAAGGGGGTCTGAATACTTTCCGTACCTACTGTATGTTACAGAATCCAAAATTTCTTATTGTTGTTATTGCATCTATTATGACACCTGTGTGGTAAGTGCTGGTAAATGTCAGAGATTGAGAACAGTGACAGTGTCTAACCACAGTCTCACTGGGTTTTTTGCAGCAGACTATCAGCGCAGCCTGTCTGTACCCATCTCCATCTTTGTGGAGGACACTGATTCGTACTTGGGTTTAGTAGACTTGTCCTCATCCTTTGACCTCAGGAGGCCCCAGACCATTCTCAGAGCAGATGGAATCTCAGAAAGCCCACCCAGCACCAGCAGCATCCTGTTGTGAGTTCGATTATTACTCAACAGAAGATAAAAACTTAATGATTGCTGTCAGCCATGGTTTCACAGGATCTTACATCAGTGGCAAACCACACTAGGGTTTCAGTCAGTCTGGTCTACATCCTGTGTAGGTATAAAGAGGTTATAAGCCCAGTGTATTCAATGCCACAGGTGGCAGTTAACCATGTATTCAACCTGTAAATCACACATGAAGTATTGATCTCCATAGCACAATCCACTACTTGTTTATCTTAATCTGTGGAGCTGGCATGATTTATGTTCATATTGCCCCTGCTGTTCAGAGTACCAGAGGACTCTTCGTCAGACATGAGCAGCCCAGCTACAACAGAGGAGAATATGGGGCTTTTTATGCTGAGGAAGGACAGCGAGCGGAGAGCTACACTGCATCGAGTTCTCAATGACTACATCAGTCACGTGGTTTGTAACATACAGGAATCTGTGCCTCAGGTGGGTGAAGGAAGGCCTCATCAACATGGTGAAACATTGTTGAAGTCTGTTAACTGCATGGCCTACTGGATGTCACTGCTTCTCTCTAAGTCTTATTTACTTTATTGGCCCACCAAAATTATTTGGATTGTTAATATATTTTACAGATTCTGTTTATCAGTATTGGCAAAGTTTGAGCCAGTTAATCTAGAGCCTAAGGTCATTTCTGCACAGTTTTACCCTGAGTTTGGCATTTGTTTTTTAATTAAAGGCTCTCTTTGTGAGTAAATTGTTGGCTTTAGCAGTTTCTCCCTGGTTTCTTTTATTAATGGTAATTAAAGCATATGAATAATATAAGATTGTTTTCTCTTTGTGTAATATATTTTATGAAAATGTAAGATAGTAGCTGTTTTATTGTATTAATTTGAATAGCAGTTAAAAGGTTTTAGAATCATCTTAATATTGTCTTGATTTTTGTGGATTGAGCAAAGATTAATGAAAAAAACCTGTTTTCAGTATAGTAATATAGAGGAGCAAAGGTTAGTGGAAAATGAATTTCAAAAAAAGACTACACATGTGGAGAGAGCACTGTTGTGAGTTAAAGTCTCAGTATTTCCAGATTGAGAACAATAGAAGTAGTGTCCTCATTTTCCAGTTGTTTTTTTGCCTCTCGCTCTCTTTCTCTCTGTTAAAAGTATGGTGAGGGATCATCGCTCACAGCAGACCACATCACCAAGCTCATTGGCTGCTTGCGAGACAACATCCGATCCCCGGACAGGAAGCAGCTGACCAGTGACCTGCATAAACTTCGAGCAACGCTGCTTGCTGCCTCAGTGCCTCTGAACAGCCTGCAGGTGGTGCTGTTCAGCTTCCAAGATGCAGTAAGTTACTTTGAGGGGCAACAAGCAGATTTTGCTGGTAATTATGCTACTGCCAGCTTTAGCCTTAGTGAGACTGGGGGAGCATCACTCTTGTCTCAGTCATGTTAAACTGCCTGTTCTGTAAATAGGTGAAGAAGGTATTAAAGCAACAGCAAGTGAAACCTCATTGGATGTTTGCCCTGGACAACCTGCTAAGACAGGCAGTACAGGACGCCATAACTGTACTCCTACCAGGTAGAGCTTTATCTTGTGTTATATCTATTAAGTAGTTTGGGTTAAATTCTTGGAGAGACAAGCAGATATTGGAGGACAAATGTGGTTGCCTGTTGTTGGCTAGCTCCATTTATATTTTTCTCTCATTGTGTATCTACTGTAAATGTACTTATTTATTTATAGTTTGCTTACTTTTAGGGCTGTTGCTTATTTATTATTTACCTATGCTTCTTCCGTTCCTCTCTGCCTTTCAGAACTGAAACTACAGCTGCAGTCCTCATTTGAGATTGAGGACAGCACTCCTGTGGACCAGTCTCCTGACCCAGACACTCCTGTAGTTCCTGTCCCTGACCAGCTGAGGGCGGCAGCAGATATGCACCAGATGGGACCCATAAATGAGACCCCACCTTCAGCCAGGCCCACCTCCCCTACAGACCTCATCCTCAAAACCAACTGTCCCCTCAGCATGCAGCTGAGAGCTCTACGACTAGAAACTGGAAGGTAGCTTAGTGATCTAAGCTATCTTCTTTTTGTTGTGCATTATTTATTTATGTTTGAACTACTACAGTCGTGTGTGAAATCTTGTGTCACACTTGTAATTTAACATTATTTGCTGTAGAAAGCGTTAACATTGGTGTCTCTATTGGGTAGTCCACAGTGATTAATAAACATTTTGAAATGCACTGCTTTCTGCTGAGTGATGATGACTGCTTGTTTCAGACTGCTGAGTCAGCTGAACGAGAAGGAGAGGGAGTACCAAGAGCTCCTGAGGAACTGTGTCCACAGAAAACAGGAACAGATAGATGCGCTGAGGAAAGCAGAAGTCATTGAAGGTAATGATTTAGTGCAGACTGAGTTGCATATTATGTCTTAAAGTTTGGATCACTTTGCTCTGTTAGTTCTGGTTTGGTGAAATACTGGATATGAACCAAGTAAGCATGACGTCATATGGGCTGACAGGCTGTTCACTGACTAGGCTGTTTTGATCTTTGTTAGCCTGCATTGTCAGTGCTAACAGTTCACGATTGGCAGATGATTTGATATAAATTTATCTTTTTAAGCATCGCAAACATCATAATACATACTGTTTTGCTTTCACGCCACTACTTAGAAGATAACTGAGACCCTACTTTTCAGAGCACAAGTTGTAGTGAATCTTTCCAGACCATTTTCAACAACTTGTTACAGAACACTCACCTTAATAATCTTTTCGATTATTAAACGTACGTTGGTTGAAACCTACATAGTGAGTACTCCAATGTTAAAACAAATATTCATGTATATTTGTATAATTTATTTAATTTGGCTCTGGTGTCAACATCAAGCGTATAAATCCAGGAAAAGTGATGATTTCCCAGCTTGCAATTTTTGATAAAGATAATATACCAAATCAAGGATTAATGAAGCTTATTCATTACAAGTTGATAAATAACTATTTAATGTATGTAATGTTTGTCACCAATCATCTTAGGAATGAGCCAAGTTCTAAGAACTGGTTTTAGCTCAGCCTACAGTCTGATAGTTAGCTACACAAGCTGCAGCATGACCAGTATTACACCAAGGTACTAAGGTTTCTTGGGTTTATTAGTGCAGTCAGTGATCCTCATTACTGTTTCTTCACACTTGTACCAGTCAGTTTCCTGCCACACCTGAGCTTCAGGCTCTTGATTTCTGCCCAACTGGTTTCTGTCAGGGGTGTAGACTATCGCATTGTCAGCGGATGTGCTCAAACTTGACTTGTCAGTTTGGCTACTGATTATACGATCTGGCTGTGGAATCATGATAAGTGTCTTATAGCTTCTTTACAGAAAGTCTCTAGTCCAGAAGTGAGGGCTTTGGTCCATTGGCTCAAATCTGTCCCAGTAGATCAAAACACCATTGATAAGGTAAACTCAACTGAATCACAACCTAGTTTATTTATTATTATTATTATTCTCAAGGCTGTTAGTATTACTCATCCACCTACTAGTAATCCACACCCGTGTCATCCTGTTTTCTAGTTGCTCTGTCATGAGTTCACCTTGGATTGTCTCCTCTACATGGCCTCCAGAGATGACTTGATATACTGTGGAATACGGTGAGCTACCTCCACACATCACCCTCACGCCATCTGTGCAGGCACTAGGAAGGGATTGTTGTCAGAGTTGGTGGTGGAGAAAAGATGTAGCCCACCTTGTTATTTTACCTCAGAAGCCCCAGGGGCATTGTAACATTGTATTTAAACCTGTCTGATATTACTTTTTCAGAGGCGGCATGTTGTGTCGAATCTGGGCAGCCATCACAGCTCACAGGAAGACCCAGCTCAGCACACACAATGAGGACAGTGAGGACACTGTGCTTTAATGGCTGCTGATGTTGTACATCAAAGGACAGATTTATTGACAGGCTGGTCCTGTGCTCTCTGGAGGAAGAGAGGCTGTGGTGAACATCATTCTCTTTGCAAGAAGCTGATGTAAAGCAGAAGGGATTTTATACCTTGATGAACTGTGAATGCAATTTTAAGCTACTACTTTATCCACTTTTTTTGTGCAGTTGCCAGCATTTTTTGCTGCATTTTCTCAGGGCTTTGGCAATTGAGCATTGAGATGTCTGCAAAGAAATGTAGTGCTATTTTAATGGTGCCTCAGGACGTAGAGTGGGTCATCCCCTAATCGCAGGGTTGGCAGTTCTCGGGCAAGTATAAGTGCAAGTTCATTTTCCAATTCCATTTACTTGGTTTTACAGAAAACATAGGACCTAAATTATTACACTGTATTTAAGCAATGTCTCTACATTCTGGAGAAAAATGGAGGTTCTCTGTATCTGCACAATGTTAAAACCCATTCAATTAATGAACAGGAACAGTGAATCTCTGACTGGTTTGTTACCTGTATGTATCCATTTATTTGTAAGAGGCACAGAGGGATTACTGAGGGAGTGACAAAGACTGGAAGAAGTCGTGAAATGGTTAGCCATCTCCAAAATTCGATGTTTCCTCATCTGTTTTCACGATGCTGACATCTCCTTAGAAATGGTGAGATGGGCTTTGTTTGCATTAGTGTCTGTCTGCTGTATGTGTGTTGTGTTCAGCTACTCTTCTGAGTAGGTTTATTGTTTGAGTTTTAGACATTCTAGTTGAGGATTTTTTTCTCTAATAAATTATTTTGTCTAGTCCTAAATTACAAATAGTGTTAAAATGAGTTCACACTAAAGAGCTTGGTGTTGAGAAATATTAGAAATGGAAATAAAAGAAGAAGGCAGAGGTCAGAACATTAGGGAATAAATCTAGTGGGCAAAAACTCTTCAAGTGTTAAGGTGACGTGAGCATGTATGTGACTCGTCTTTTCCAGTTTATTGCTTAGTGCTCCTGTGTGAGATCAGAGGATGTTCATGATTTTTCTAAACTGCACAGAGTTGTTAAGTGTCGTATTCATAACAGCTCCAGTGCTCTGTCAGTACGATATGACCTAAATGAGAGAGTAGGCTTTGTGCTCAGTGATAGGAGTCATGTCTTATTCAGTGTTTGGTTTTGAACAGTTGCGTGTTATGTGAGGGCAAATGATGTGTTCATAGTGTTTGTGTATGGCCTTGTGTGACCCGATGTGCTTGTTTGATTGGACTAATGTCCTAATAAAATGAGAGACAGCAAGTACATAAAATAAAGTCACTTTCAGCTTTTCCCGTTTAGGGGTCGCCACAGCGAATCGTCACACTGACGACTCGCATGTTGACATTTGGCATATGTATTATGGCGGATGCCCTTCCTGACGCAACCCTGATTCGAACCCGGGGTTCCCACTAGTCTACCAGGGATGGCTACAGCAAGTACATAAAATATTGGCAAAAAAAACCACAGCGATTTAAAATACTTTTATAAATATTTCAGTGTCTCTCAACTTACATTCAGTATCATAGGGTCCTAAAAACTCTCCATCCCCTTCTGGCCAAAATACTGATTAGGCCTCTTTTTGATTTACTGTACCTCTTCAATAATCTAGAATGCTGAACAAATCAGAAAGTGGAAGGTTAATAAATCAAGCTGACTTTCTTCCTCTTGTGTCCTTGCAAAAAGAATACTCAGATTTTACCAACAAAAATCAATTACCATCATCCTGTTGTCTCACTCCATTCTCATGCCTTTCTATTATTTGTTTAATAATTCATGTTGCCATACATAAAGTACACAAAGAAATATTGTTGATATCTTATATGTAATCAAACGTGTTTGTTCCACTGTGAGATTTCTAGACGCTAATAATGGGCATGATCAAAGTAACTTAGAGCAGAAGATGACAGTGATTACTTTTTCCATAGAATAATGCACTAATGCTAACATGCTATGTTTGCTGGGAAATCCTGTTTGAATTGTATTGAGTTTTCTTCTGGTCTTCCTTAAATCCCTCCATCTTTGCTTTGCCTGGAGGTGGAGCTAAGCCACTGATAAATGAGACAAACAATGCTGCCAAGGGGATTTTAGCAGGGTGTTGGGCGGGTATTTAGGCTACCACATTGGGAGGCCCAGAACCTCAAAGATTACTGAGCTTACCCTCCTCTTTGTCAGCTCCCAGGGTACAGGTTATCCCACTGTCCTGGACCCAACATCTGCACAGGGAAAGATAGGTTTGACCATTCTTGCAGTATGTAATTAAAAATAAAGCAGTGGAGTAGCAGCATGAGCACACTGTCACTTCAATAGCTTGTTAATCACCAGTCTTATTTATTTTAGAACATATAGAGTTCACTAAGAAGCTGGTGGTTGTATTTTTGTTGCTGAGGTCTGTAGAACATATGCAGCACTGACACATGTACAGTGAGGAACAGAAGTATTTGAACACCCTGCGATTTTGCAAGTTCTCCCACTTAGAAATCATGGAGGGGTCTGACATTCACATTGTAGGTGCATTCCCACTCTGAGAGACAGAATTAAAAAAAAA